CAGACCATGTCCTCTGTCCTGCATTCCACCTACTGAAGAGCCATAGTGAGGCTGGGTCGCTTTCTGATACTAAAGCATCTACACAGACAGACAGGAGCTACAATGGACGAGTAGAGGTGATGAGAGAAGCCACTTTATTTGCCACAGTAGAGAAGGTAAGAGAAGGACATCGGAGGTAGGACATTCTTAGAGAAGGGCGGGCATTTTCTCACAGTTCCACGGTGGGCTGGGCATGCTTCCCCACTTGCTTCACACCAAATCCACAGTCACAGGAGGAGGAGGAGGAGGGGGTGGGGATAGATGTATCCTTGCCTATAATAACAGCAGCTGGTTTGGGACACTGGTCAGCAGCAGGCGGGGGTGCTACAGGTGACAGGTCTGCAGACCAGGGTGGGGCAGGAGGGCTGGCAGCACCCAGATGACTGGCAGGTGGAGGTCACACAGACTGGCCGGCAGCTCACGGGCACACACACGGAGGACTGGCAGGAGGGAGTCATGCACACAGTGGGCCTACAGCTCGCAGGCACACAGTAAGCCATCTGGTATCTCACAGGAATGCATATAGCAGGCCTGCAACAGGATGGCTGGCAGGGGCTAGACACACAGCAGGATGGCTGGCAGGAGCTGGACACACAGCAGGATGGCTGGCAGCCTGAGGAGCAGCTGGTGTGACACATGGTAAATGCTGGCTTGTCTGGAGGAGGGTGAAGATGTCTGGAGCTCCTGCCCAGGGTGGCTTTTATACCCAGCTCAGTGGCCCAACTACCCAGAATGCAGCTGTTCTTCCTTATTTGCTTCCCCTGTCCTCCCAGTTGGCTTTACTGAAGTCTATGTTCCTGCTTTGTTTGCCCTCAGCCTCATGGCTAATTATACCCGCTCCAACTCCTGCTGGGTCTGGGCTCCCACCCAGCCTCCCCCTGGGGCCTTCTGGATTCTACCAAGCTCCATCACTTCCTGGTTTCCTCACACGAGGTCCTAGAGATCCATGTGTCCAGAAGTTGCCCCTACAGGATGACAGTCCTTACACACCCACAAAGATCACACTTCTCACAGGGTTAGGAAGGGCTTGCAGAATGTGAGAGGCTGAACACAGGGAGAGCCCTCCCATGAGCCACAGCTGGAGATGTCAGGCAGAAGCAAGAGCATGGAGGACAGCTCTTTCTCTCTGTGTGTGTGTGTGTGTGTGTGTGTGTGTGTGTGTGTGTGTGTGTGTGCATAGGTGCACATGGGGTTCAGAGTTTGTGCATTGTGTATGTCTGAATGTAAATGCATGCATAACCAAACATGTGTGTCCAGGACTGTGTGTCCAGGACTGTATGTCCATGTGTACCCATACACCACCAAAAGCCTGTTCCCTTTTCCACCCAAGCCTTCCCCAGTCCCAGCCACCTGAAGATGAACTGTTCCTTGGGCCACCTGCTGCCTGTCCTGTATCTCTGTGCTGCCTCACTACTGCCTGCTGGCCTCCCAAGGCTGTGAGAACCACTGCCACAGACCCCAAGTGAGGCTCTGTTGAGATGGGCTCTGTGCTCTGTGTCTGTCTCCTGCCAGCTGGCCTGTGGTGAGCCTGTTAGCTGCCAGTCTCCAGGGTGTTGCCAGTAACCTGCCTACCTGATCCTACCTGCCCCTCCCTTGTGGCTCCTCTGTGTGATGCTGATCTCTGTTCTTCAGGCCCTCAAACACAGAACTGTCACTCTGGCTAAGACGCCGCCATGGTGACTGTGTTGATTTAGGAATGGTCTCATCTCTCCAAGCCTCTCACTGTGGTGTCGGGGCCCTACCTAAACTCCTATTTCCTAGTCTCCTTGTCTTTCCTCGTGGCTTTAAGGAAAACCAGACCTCCCCTGAGTGATCAAAGCATTTGACTCTCATTCTCTGTCTGCTGTCTCTTGTTCTGAACCCTCTTCCAAACCCCAACCTCCAGATCCTAGCAACCAGAAGGAGGCAGGGAGAGGCCTGAGGGCCAGTGCTATAGAGGGACAGTAAGAAGGTTCATTTTTCCTATCAACTTGAATAGATTTAGAATCTCCTAGGAGACAGAGGCACATCTCCGACATGTCTGTGAGAGTCTCCATGGAGAACTAACTGAGAGTCTAGACAGTCTGTGATGGGGGTGGCTCCCTCCAGTGGGCCAGGATAAAAGTGGAAAAAAGAAGAAAGCTAATCAGTTGCCAGTATTCTCATCTCTCTTTTGTGGCCATTGTGACTGTTGTGCTCCCCATGACAGACCGAACTCTGTGAACCCAAGAGCTAAAAACCTCCTGCACCCCTTTAAGGTGCTTTACTCAGCATAGTTATACAAAAATAACTAATACAGAAAACTACTAACCCTGACTATGTGGTTCTTAGGCCTTTGACTGGTGTCTGGATAGGCTGTGTAGGAGTTTTGACATAGGGGCTTTATATGCTATAGCTATTTATTCTATAACTCAAATTCTGCAAAGAGCTAACGAGGCATCCAGGTGAGACTTCAAGACCAAGACACCAACAGAAATTTGACAAAAGAATGTACTCATCAAATTTCTGGATGCTGTTGGGAACTGGACCAGAAGCCATTCTTGGGATAGTCTGCAAGAGAATTTCCTCTATGCCCAGAAGCTCTATGTGAGGCTGGGTTTATAGTAGTAGCTAAATTAACTATGCGGAATAAATTTCAAGAGAGCAAAGAATTCACACAATGGCCTGATTATTGCTGGGGGCTTTTAGACAGAGTTACAGTGAGAATCAAGAACTAAAAGCTGAGCAGAAAGATTCAGAAACCATGCAGACCCAGCCAGAGAGGGAGCCATCACAAAGCCGTGGCTGAGGAGGGTGTGGTTGTTAAAGAGATTAATGTCATTAAAGAGAAGCCAACCACTTCATCCTGGGACAACAGAAAATTGGCCAGACCCTACCCATCAAAGGCTCCAGAATGAGAACATGAGCCAAGATCAATCCTGTCCCTTTTAAGTGTTTTGTCCTTTATCATGTCACAGCGATGAGAAAAGTCAACACTGTAGGGCTGGCAGGGCCTCTGCCTGTGCCTCTAAGCAGCAGTGGGACATTCTGATGGTGTCTTACCTCTCAGATGACAAACCAGAATGATGCACGTGTGTGCTTGAGTGAAAGGTGCGTGAGTGCACAGAGATAAGCATGGCCGTGTGTCTGCAGGAGCATGCATACACGTGAAGAAGTGTGGCTCTGTGTGTGTGTGTGTGTGTGTGTGTGTGTGTGTGTGCTAAAACACATGGAGGTGGGAATGTGTGTTTAAGTATAGTGGTGTGAGTGAGCATACACACATGTGAATGTGAGTATTTTTTCATGTATGTCCTTTATGTTCATGAGGGCTTGAGTACAAGATCGTGTGTGTGTGTGTGTGTGTGTGTGTGTGTGTGTATGTGTGTGTGTTACCTGGGTGTGAACATACCATAGGTGCATGGAGTATACTGTATGTCAGTCATTTTTAGGAAAAACACTTATTTAAACAGCACAGTGTATCCCTGACGATTTTGGGTGCTAAGGGATAAAACAACATTTGCAACTCATGTTTCAGGGGCAGCCTGCAGGGAATAAAGGAAAAGGTCAAGGCAACCAAGAGGGAGAACTCTAGGACCACAGGTCCAGGATGATGCTATGGGATGCAGCAGAGGCTGAGACCCCCATGCCTACCTGTCTCAGGAACAGTCAGAACCAACTACAAAGACTGGGCATAGAGCAGGCCAATGGAAACACAGTCATCAACACTTCCCGGAGGAAAACCTTCCCCAAAGTTAGCCATAGCTGTGATGGGCCCATCTCCATTGTTAATATAACAGCTTTAAAGTCACCATAGAAATACCCAGAAATACTTCTGGGTATACTGATGATTATAATTCCAGAAAGGTATCACTGAGGAGGAAAGACTCCCCCTAAATGTAGGTAGCACAAGCCTTATTCTGAGGGTTAGGATTCCAGACCAAATAAAAAGGAGGAAGCCACCGGAGCACCAGCAAGCCTCACTCTGCTTCCTGACTGCAGATGCAATTCGATCAACCATATCACCCTCTTGTCACCATGACTGTCCCATCATGAAGGGCTATGCCCTCAAACCGTGAGCCTTCAGGTTACTTCCATTGGGAATTTTGTCCCAGGAAGAGGGACAGAGAAGCCCACACAATTTTTGGAAGCCATCTGAAGTAGAAAGCACTTGTTAGAACACACAGAAGTGACCCACGCCACGGAGTGAAAAGATGCAGAATGGTACATATGTGGCTCCAGAAGGAGCCACCCCAAGAAGTTAGTGGGACGTGTGTGTTCCAACCGCTTCATAGGGAACCGACTAGATGTGTGTCTGTCATATTATAATTGATTAACAGTAAGAAAATGGGTATAAATGTCCCAAGTACTGAGAAAGTGATTCAGAGAGCAACAGTTTGTATAAGTGGAATTCAAACATCTCAAGGCTGCTCAGGAGGAAGAAAGTCACTGTGACCGGGCACATGGGACATCCCCAGGGGAAATAGAAAACCTTTCATAAAAACACACTAGGACTCACTGTGCATGAGCCCCTACTTCAGGTACCATTTGAAAGGTAAGCAGGAGCAGACACTGCAATGAACACAGGGCCCACAGGGATGCCAGGGGCATAAACACACCCACTCACCAACCATGTCCTCCACCCTGCATGCTTCCTCTTAAGGAACCAAGGTGAGTCTGCATCATAGAAACCACTGATCTTACATGCTTCCTGACGCCAGTGAAGCCAGGAAAGACAGACAGGAACCAGAACAGAGAAATGCACAGCTGCCTAGACAAGTTACTTTATTTGGCACATGGGGTAAGAGAAGGATCCTCGAGCCAGGGCATCCTTGGAGAAGTGCAGGGGAGAGGTATCTGTATCATTCCACTGTGTTCTCTCCCAAGTTCCAGGGTGAGCTACGAGTGCTTCCAACCTGTTTCAGGTGCAGAACCACTGCCACAGAGGGAAGGGATAGATGTGTCCCGTTTGCACTGGCAGCAACTGGTTTGGAGACAGACACTGGTCAGCAGCAGGAGTTGCCACAGGTGACAGGTCTGCAGACCAGGGTGGGGCAGGAGGGCTGGCAGCACCCAAATGACTGGCAGGGGGAGGTCACACAGACTGGCCGGCAGCTCACGGGCACACACACAGAGGACTGGCAGGAGGGGGCCATGCACACAGTGGGCCTACAGCTCGCAGGCACACAGCAGGCCACCTGGTATCTCACAGGAATGCATATAGCAGGCCTGCAGCAGGATGGCTGACAGGAGCTGGACACACAATAGGATGCCTGGCAGGGGCTGGCTACACAGCAGGATGGCTGGCAGGAGCTGGACACACAGCAGGCTGGCTGGCAGCCTGAGGAGCAGCTGGTGTGACACATGGTGGAGGCTGGCTGGTCTAGAGGAGGGTGGGGATGACTGGAGCTCCTTCCTGGCATGGCATTTATACCCAGTTCATTGTCCCAGAACACCCAGAATGCAGCTGGTCTTCCTTGTTTGCTTCCTCTCTCCTCCCAGGTTGGCTTTGCTGTTGTCCATGCTCTTGTTTTATTTGCTCAGCTCCATGACTAATGCAGCATATTCTATCCGCTGCTACATCCATACTCCCAAGCCATCCTCTCCTGGTACTATGTGGACTCCTCCATGCCCCGTGAATTCCTGATTTCCTCACATGGCATCATAGAAGTTCAGGAGTCCAGATATCCTCCCTGTGGGATCCAGTCCTCCCACAACCACAGAGATTATTCTTTTCCTGTGGTCTGGGAGGCTCTGCAATACGTAGGAGCCTGAACACAGTGAGTACCCTCATCCATCAGTGTCCTGGGGGAAGGCAGGTTGGACCAGCTGCATCCTCAGAAAGCAGATAAAGCCAATATAGGTTCACAAGGACCACAGCCTGAACCTATGCTAAAGCCAAAGATCCAGGCCCAGTCCTCCTTTTGGCATGTTCAGCAAAGAGCCACAAGTACCATCATGAAAGGCACAGCTACAGCGAGGCCTGTGGGTATCTACACAAGTCACCTGAGGTTGGGGAAGAGGTGTCTGAGTTGGCCCCAGGTCTTTGGATGCCTCTCTGGATGAGATGAGGAGATACAGGCATTCACGCGAGACTGACTCTTCCTCCCGGCCCTCCTAAAGCCACAGTACCACAGAACAGAGGCAGCTCATATATTATCACCATCTTCCCTCCCATCACCTGCTGTAAAACACAGGGATCATACCCGAAAGGGTCTAAGGTCACTCTTGAAAGGGTCCATGTCTCTTTGTTTCCACTTCAACTCCATCCTTGACGGGAACGAAGCTTTGAGACAAAAAGAAGATGCTATGCTAGAAGATGCAGGCCTGGATTGCCAACATTCTCCATAGCTAATGTTCCTGGGATCTAATAATTCGTTCTGCTGTGAGCAACGTCTGAACATCATTACAGCCTCTGCTTGCCCTCTCCCTCTTTCTTTAGAAGTGAAGAAGACATCACACTGGAGAGAAGCAGAAAGTGGTTCACAAGGCCAGACCATCCCTGCAGGCTACCTGACTCCATGCAGCAAGGCTGTTCCAGGATAGCTGCTGTGAGTAGGAGAGACAGCCTCAATGACTTCTAGCCACTACACACCCTGGCCACATCCTCCAAGTTCTACTACTAATAAGGAGGTAGACCAGATGTCTGTCATAATGCCAGCTTCTCCTCAAGAGCTCCCCATTGACGCTGAAGAGAGGGGTCCTCAAAGACTTGCTCAAACCACAGCTTCTGCTGCATGCAGCAGGACATTTGGGAACAGAAAACCGAAGGTGTAGAGTGTAGCAAACCTGAAACCCTGATGGAATAAACAATAGCTGAGAAGCCCTTCCTTAACTACCTGTTAGGTGTCCACACTCAGACAGGGCTAGTCAGAGGCATACATTAGCTCCTAAGCCAAATGAACCCCACTTTTACCCAGCTCTCTGCTAATTCAACATTATCAGTGGGTGAGAGGAACCCAAGTTGGGCAAGAGAAGTATCTCAAACATGGGCAGGATGTACCCCAGAGAGAGCTCGTGGTAAGGTGGTCAGAGCCAGACCACAACCAAGGAGCCACCATGGGACTGAGTAGACTCCCCAGCATAGAACTAGGACCCAAGATCACTGTGCTGGAATCTAGAGGAAGACTCAGAGATGGTGTACGCCTGTGCGCGCGCGCGTACGCATGTGCGCGCGCGCGCGCGCACGCGCGTGCGAGCACACGTACACGCACACTCACACTCACACATACACACATGCTCACACACATACATACATACACACACATACACACACTCATACACTCACACACACACACATACTCATTAACTCATACACACATTCACACACATACTCACTAACTCATACACACATACACACACACACAGACACACACACGTGTACACACCTAATCCAACCCACAGGATTCCAGAGACATAGGTGGGATCTTGAGTGGAGGCTGAGTGGGTTTTCCGCATTTATACTCCCACAGAGATTAAAACCAGACCTACACAAGTTCAAAATAATCAACTAACAATTGGCTGTCTGTCTGAACAGAAACCCATAGTCACGAGAAGATAATAGAATCCAGAGTCTCCAAATGTATTTCTATTAATAACCAGACATAGGAGATTTTGTAAAATAAATCACCATCATAAGTAAAAGCAACTGGCAGAAAGAATCTGGGATGATCTCATTACAGAGACTGGCAGTCGGTGACCACAAGCAGGTGTTTTATGTCCACAGATCAAAGAAAAAATATTATCTTCACGAGTGAATAGGTAGAGATTCCCAGGAGGGAAGTGGAATTAATCAAACAAAAGGAAGTTCTGAACCTGAGATGTACAATAGGTGAAATATAAATACACACTGGACAAGCCTGATAGCAGTTGCAAGAATGAAGAAATATCAGTAGACCTGAAACACCAACAAAAATCATTCCATCAGAAACAGATGAGTTAAAAAAAAAAAAAGGAACCTAAGTGCTGGTGAGATGGAACTGTGAGTAAAGACAAATGTGCCCAACCCTAGTGACCTGAGTTCAACATCCTGAACCAACATAGTGGAGAGAATAGACCACACCAATCAAACCAAAAGAAGGGACACACACACACACACACACACACACACACACACACACACACACACACACACAGTGTCTTGGATCCTCAGAAGACAGCACCATCCATCAGAAGTATGGAGGGAGAGAGGGAAGGGTTGATGAGAGAGTGAGAGAAACGCAGAGAGGCAGAGAGACTGCACAAGAGAGATGTGGAGGGTATGGCCAGCAAGTCTACAAAAAGGAAGATACTGACAAATGGCAGATCTGATAAAGTGAATAGCTAGACTATGAAAAGAATGCCCACAAGCCATCTCTCTAGCCCAATTTTGCATTTTACACCTTGGTGATTTCATTAATTGGGGTGATGTCTTCAAGGCCCCTTTCTCATTATCCCAGTGGAAAAAAATTTGACTTTTCTTTTGTGGTGCTAATCTCTTTGACAGTTAAAGGTGATTTGTCTGTGCCTTCCATGCCCTTCCATGCCCACCCAGTCTAAAATGTTAACTATACCTACACTCTTTCCTGTCCAAATGTCCCATTTTTACAGTGTCCTGAAAACCTGGCTAAAGGCAGCCAGCAACAGTCATGCACAGCCTGAATGTCATGCGCCTTATAATTACCTCTGCCAAACTACTAGCCAAATGCATGTAAATTCAGCTTCACTCACATTCTCAAGACACAAGCAAAACAGATTCTTTGCCAGAATGCAACACCAAAGGTCTCTAGTCCTTGTGTCCATCCAAAGCCTCACAGGCAGGATCTCTCCCTCTACAGCATCTCTCTGCAGCATCTCTCTCAGCTTTCTGGTCTTCTGAACTCCCAACAGAATATCCCTTTGAGTTCTGCTTGGAGCACCCTAGAACTTCTCTAGTGCACAACTCCAAATTCTTCCACATTCCTCCCCAAGCCATTTCCAAAGGCTGAAGAGCCATGTGGTTGGGTTCATCACAACAACCTCACTCCTGGTACCAATTTCCCCTTATATGTATTGCTGCCATTGAAAAGTCCCCAAGAAACAGGAGGAGGAGGGGGGGAAGGGAAGGAGGAGGAGGAGGAGGAGGAGGAGGAGGAGGAGGAGAAGAAGAAGAAGAAGAAGAAGAAGAAGAAGAAGAAGAAGGCAGTTCTATTGGACCTGGAAGGTACTGGTACCAGGAAGGTGCAGTACCTGGGGTCCATCTGTGGTAGGGGTCTGGATTATGACAAAGCTTGCTCTGCCATGGAGCATCAGGAAGCAGAACTCAGCAGCAATCAGAGCCGGCCTAGAACCCTCAAGCTCTGCCCTTATAGACTTGTCTGCTTCATGTTCAAAATGTTCCACAACTTTTCAAAATAGCACTCCCATGAGCCCATGGGGGAATTTTTCACATTCAAGCCATAACACTAGGTTTTCTCCAAGTTCTCAGGCAGGTCCTAGCCCAGCCCCCTCCTAGCTTGATCATCCAGGGCCCCAGTGTCACAAACAAGAAGGTTGTAAAATATCTTAAACACAGTTCAATTTTCAGTGGAAAGCCTCCTGCATCTGAGAACACAGCCAACTCCAACATCCCTTCTGACCAACCTTATAACGAGAGCCAATCTGTAGTCTATAAGGTTAAGATATCTTTATTCAGATAAACACTAGCCAAACGCAAGCCAGAGCATGCCAGGGGCAGCGAGGCAGCTAGGCCAGAGAGAGGGGCTCCCATGTGCTTTGCCACCCCTTAAGAACCCCTCATGCATCATCCTGACCTCACCTTGACCACACCCTGACAGGTGTGGTCAGGAACACCTGTAGCCAGCCTCTAACAGGCATGGCTTACTGTTCCCTACACAACCTCCTTCTCCTTTCTGCCTGTCAATCAATCTGGGTCCCCCCCTTTTTTTTTTCGTTTTTTAAACTTTTTAAAAAAGATTTATTTGTTTGTTTTGTGTGTACACAAGTGCTCTATCTGCATGTCTGCCTGCACACCAGAAGAGGGCATCAGATCTCATTACAGAAGGTTGTGAGCCACCATGTGGTTGCTGAGAATTGACCTTAGGACCTCTGGAAGAGCAGCCAGTACCCTTAACCCCTGAACCATCATCTCTCCAGCCCCTGGGTCCTCTTGCTGTATGTAGAAGTAGCCAATTTTTTTTTTTTCAGAGCAACTTCTTGAAGCCCCTGCTATATTGTCTTCACATCACACTGGCCCACAGGGCTCAGTCCTGGAAAAGCAAATACCTGCCCCGTCCCAAATAGCTCTATCAGCTCTAGCCCCACCCACTTGAGTGATGGGTGCCCTGGCCCACCCCCACTTCTCTGGCAGAGACAGGTACCCAGGCTGCCTTTCTAGTCTGCTGTACCTTGGGAGCACAATGACAGATACGAACACAGGATGGGAGTATCCGTGTCCTGGTGTCTGAGTTGCCCAACACAGGCTCTTCTGTAAGCTCTTGTTTGTGTCTCAGTTTCCCCACCTGGGAATAATGAAATCCTCTCCCTCTCAAGGTTGAAGAGCTTAGTGAGTTGACTTTATAGTGAGTTGACTTTATATTTATAGACTAAGTTGGAGCAATCCCTAGAGCAAAGCAAGAACCATTAGTACTAGTATTGCTGATAAAGGAAACGAGCACAGATCTCTGACCATCATCCCAAATAAAGTGGATATAAAATAAGCTTAAATTATTCTAATGACTCAACGAAGGACTGAAGCAGGGAGCCAGGGCAAGGGACCTCAAGATATGGCCATGGCAGACAACAAGGAACTGCCCTCCCCGGAGAGGAAGTGACTCTACCAGACCTTTCAGCTCTAGCTGAAAGTTCTATGGGTGGAGCTACAGGTCATGGCCATTTGATTGATGGGTGTCCTTAGAACTACAACAACATCAACGAGGAACTGTAGCTAGGACAACGCAAACACACACAAACCCTTGAGAGATATATAAGTGGCACCCACCATCACACCTCACTCAGTCACTCATACCTTCTTGCATCACCCTCTGCCCTCCAATCAGTCATGGCCGCCTCCACCATGTCTGTCTACTCTGAGCCCTGCACTGAGTCCTCCTGGCAGGTGGACGACTGCCCAGAGAGCTGCTGTGAGCCCAGCTGCTGTGCCCCCAGCTGCTGCCAACCCAGCTGCTGTGCCCCCAGCTGCTGCCAACCCAGCTGCTGTGTCCCCAGCTGCTGCCAGCCCAGCTGCTGTGTCCCCAGCTGCTGCCAGTCCAGCTGCTGTGTCCCCAGCTGCTGTGCCCCAACCCCCTGCCTGACACTCCTCTGCACCCCCGTGAGCTGTGTATCCGGTCCCTGCTGTCAATCTGTCTGCTGCACACCCTCATGCTGCCAGCAGTCTAGCTGCCAGCCCTCAGGCTGCCAATCCTCCTGCTGTGTGCCTGTCTGCTGCAAGCCTGACTGCTGCACACCCATCTGCTCTGGATCCTCCCCATGCTGCCAGCAGTCTAGCTGCCAGCCAGCTTGCTGCACCTCCTCACCCTGTTCTGTGACTCTTTGCTGCAAGCCTGTCTGCTGCACACCCATCTGCTCTGGGTCCTCCTCATGCTGCCAGCCATCCTGCTGCGTGCCTGTCTGCTGCCAGCCTGTCTGCTGCAAGCCCTGCTCCAGCGTGTCCCTGCTCTGCCGCCCTGTGTGCAGACCCGCCTGCTGTGTGCCCACCTCCTCCTGCTGTGCCCCCCCCTGCCAGCCCAGCTGCTGCAAGCCCTGCTCCAGCGTGTCCCTGCTCTGCCGCCCTGCCTGCTCCAGCCAGGCCTGCTGTGGCCTCTCCTCAGGCCAGAAGTCCAGCTGCTGATGGGTCCATCCCCTGGGGATCCCTCACCTCTCCCCCTAGTTCCTGAGCTGCCTCAGATGCAGGCCCTGCCTAAGCTTGAGTGTCTTCCATCAAACAACAGAGGATTCTGTCTTGCCCTCTGCCATTACCCTGCCTGAGGTCCTTATCACAAGCCTGGGAACCCTGCTCCACAGCCCAGGTGTCAGGGCGTCTCTGTGGGAAACTGCCAGGTGCCCCCTAGCTGGAAGCCTCCTCAGAACCCTAATAAACACTTTCTCGATCTCAGTCATGCCTCTTTCTTCCTCTCTGAACTCTAGTGGAGCCAACATCAGGTGCCAATGGGGCAACAGGAAGCAGCAGGGCAACAGGGGCTACACAGTGGCAAGCTGGGTGTTGCCCTGGAGAATGAGAAGAGCAGCTCAGTTCCTCACAAGAAAAGATGGCAGCTCACTCAGTGCTAGGAGAAGTCAGAGCCTGGGGACCAGCACAGGCCTTCAAATCTCTCCATACTCCAGGGGCTGCCACTTTGAGTTTAGACTGCAAATAACCCACAGGCTTTCAACACAGAAAATATGCAGAGCCAGGAAGATTTCTCCCTCATGAACTCCCTTCAGGGACAGCAGCTGCCTCTCTCCTGAACTACCCACTCACCCTCAGCCTCACTCCTCTCCCTGTCCCTTCACTTGTCCCTGCTAGGGGAACTCAAGGCAAGAGGCCTCCGGGCACAGGCACCTACCTGCCCCTCTTGTTGCTCCTTCATGCAGGTTGAGTGGCCTGCCAACTCTGCAGTCTCCCTCTCCAGCTCCTCTGCAGGGATAAGCCGCACTCTCCTTGAGCTGTGAGCCTGGAGGCCAAGCTCCAGGCTGGAGTGTCCTAACCTTCCATCCCCGAGGTCAGAGAGAGATGAGGCCGGCAGCTATGGCGGTCAGTCTACTGTCCTGACTGACTCCAGGCTGTGGAGCAGCCGTGTGCAGGCTGGACCTTTCCTTGGGTCCCTTCTGCTTCACCAGCGGCATTTGGTGCCATAGTGAGAGTCCACATCAAGTCGGAGGAACTCTCCATCTCGTGCACATCATCACCAACA